AAGTTTATTTACATACAAGGTACACGTCTCCTTTCCAGCTTTCCTCGCCTTCTTCCCTTTGAAAAAAATAAAAAAAAGGTAACGGTAAATTAACAGATCATTTTGTAAAACAGTATTTCCTTGCCAATTAAAACAATAAAAAAATATTTGCCGGAATAGCTGTTGTTGTCAATAAGGTCACCGTTTCTGGGTTTTTCGGAGTTTTTTGATAAGGTTTCATCTCAGTAAAAATAAAAAAATTATAAATTACTCACCCTCAGAGACTTTTATCCACTCAGTTGTCTAATGCTAGTGACCATTTCAATGCATTTCATTCCTGTGAGTGATCTTACCGTTTTCTCTGATTAGGGTGCAGCCTAGTGCTTCAATTCTCATCATGAGGTGAAGATGTTCAACACAAGGTCACGAGCTCATCAACGGAGTAGAGTCTAAATATTCGGCTGAACCAAAAGTATGGATTTTCTCCGAGTCTGGGAGGATTTATGACTTGGATATAGGAGCATTTTTTCTGCTGTATATTGCAGATGGAATCGCGGCACTATGATATTTCATTGGTTCAAGTCTGCATAGCGATACTCCTCCAGTTATTAATTTTAGGGTGAATCATGATAAATGAAAAGGCTTAGGTGCTATGTCAAATTGAGACCCTCCGACTAAAGCCTGTTCCAGGCATTCTGTAGGTAAACGGAGGGAGGTAGCAGTTAACGGCGCAGGATGTGGCGGCGAAGAGAAAAACCGGGGGAAACTTGAGTCGAGTCGGGTAAAGAACTACCCGACCCAAGCCTCCGCTTCAGTATAGCACTTCCTTTAACCCACAAAACGGCTAGAATAGGCTGCTCTAGCTGATTAGTCCTTTAAACTGTTTACCAGGCAATGTACAGATATTTTAAGCAAAAACTCTGTGCTTCGAGTCATTTCGGAGAGGGTTGAATTGAAACTTACGGATGCACGGCCGTGCGAACTTAGAGATTTCTATCATAGTGGCTTCTAACTGAGGAAATAGGTAGGATTGCGTTCTCAATATGTCATAGATATTTATATTCGAATTTTCTTTGAGTATTGTCTAAATTATAATGCATGGAAAGAGAAGTATTTGTTACAACGAAATTGAAAGAGAAATTCAGCATATCCGCAGACTGTAAAGAAGCTGATGACAAGACAAACTCTTTCTAACGTCGTTTGGCAGGTTCTTTCTGTAACTAAAGTTACAGATCGTGTTTTTCCCTTTTCGATTAATGGCGTGGTCTAGTAGCGTATGTGAAAGCAATAGAAACAGAATTTGTTATGACTTTGTTGACTTATCATCGGTACGCATCTGCAGACGGTTCGACAGACTAAGCAGTTGTGAAACATTATCATCTGTGATATTAGGACATCACGTCATTTATTTTCACAAGACAAAAAATTGTCCTTCAGGAGCCAGGAGTCTGTTCAAAATTTTTCACTCAGAGTTTAATCACTTAACTGCTCTGACACTAAAGGACACCAAAGTGCGTGATATCGCTGATATTCTAAAAGGAAAAGAAAACTTAGGACATTTTTGTTATTTATTCTGTTTGATTTTGGCTTAAACCCTATTGTATTACTTGTTTGACTTCTTTTATTCCAATGGCGCCATTCTATATAATCTATATATGTTAATTTTGAAGTTTTATTGATGTATTGGCATAGATGGCTGTTGTAATTAAATGCAAGGTAACAACGCTTTTGAATCACCTTATCTCAGATGTATTATAATATTATTGCTTTCACATTGGTATGAAAAAAAAATCACCTTTTTTTTGCGGAATTAGTGATATATTATATTTGAAAATATAAAGTCAGACGTGTAAATCAAGTGAGACCAGGTATGCTACGACAATTTAGTTCTCTGAGCTTTCGCCGATCTACGGCATTCCCTGATGATGCCGTAGTTAGGCGAAAGCTCGAAAAACTAAATTATCGTAGCATATTTGGTCTCACTTGATTTACAGGTCTGACTTTATAACACTATGTTACTCAAGGACAACATCCAACGCTTGATTTGAAACTATGTTATCGTTTTTTAAGAGGGCCGCTTAAGTGAGAGTTTATTTATTCAAAAAATTTGAAAAACGAAAAAACATTTATGACGATAGTTCCAGAGTTTTTGCATTGACGGATATCTTTTGCTTCCCAAGAAATCAGAGTCCTTTCTCACAAAAGGCAAGGGTCCTTTTTTTCTGATACCGTTCGTCGAAGCAAGTGAGCTGCAATATAAGCATCCACAGAAAAGAAGCTAAGCATAAAAAAGAAATCAAGGCTTCGATGGGATATGACGCGTGCCCCCTAGATACTTGTCGGACCGCGCTACTACCAACTGAGCTACAAAGACACATATTGAGTGTCCTTTTTTTTTCTTTTTTATCTTCTTATCCTTCGTAAATGAAAAAGAAGAAAATAGTAACGTGTGCGCGAAGGCTGTCTCTTTGTGTTTAAATTGTCGTTTCACTGGTGTCACGTTCCACTGTTTTCAATTTTGCTTTTAACAGTGACCAAGCCATTCAAAAACAAAAAGGGATTCCTGATGAAGTAGTTTCAAAGCTGTGAATTATGCAGTCGATAATGTATATCTCTTATTGTTAGTCATTGGTGTTATTTTTAAAGTTTAGAGTTGAATATAGAAATTTCTTCATGAATTATTTAGTAAAACGCATTAAAGACGGGAGAAGCTGAGTAGACCATCAGGCGGTTATATCAATTAACGGCCGAAAATTGTGTCGTGTGTCATGTTATAATCCATTTGTTAAAGCACCATCTCAGGGGTCATGCGATTTCAGATCGTTCGCTCGTTCATTGATCGCAGCATTGTGCAAACTATCAACCCTTTGGGTTGGCGTCTTCATCTCTGTTTTAGTATTGCTGTTGACTTGCCCACGACTGAGTTACTGGAGCTATTGCTCCAACGCCCTGCGCCAGAAAGAGATCACAGGTAAAAAAAAAAGTAGCCTATTTTATTTGAATAAAAATAAAGATAAATTTAAGGACGAGTAAAGGTTCCTAACCAGATACAGGTAGTAGAATACGTATGCTTGGCTGTGAAAATCCTCAGTTATAAATTACTACGCGCTGAGAACTTCAATTAACAACCCAACTTGGTATTGTATTATCAATTTTTTGTTGTTTATTTTTTGTATTATGACGGGGAAACAATCTTTTGAAGAAAAGAATAAAATTAAAGCTTTAGTTAAGACATCATTTTGTAAAGATTGGGAAACAATACCAATGTCTAATTAAGATTGGGAAAATGTCGGTGTCTGTCTTGGTCAATGAGAAAAAAAATAAAGAAGGGTCCGTGCTTAACGATGTAAGGAAATTTAAGGTTATTCGCTGTCTTTGATGGGAGATAGGAGTTTGTTCAAGAATGTGAAAGATCGATTTTATGGTCTTTCCTGTTGTTTCATTTTTTCCTGTATGGAACGTGGTTATCGAGACTTTGAACTGTTGCCAGCATTCTAGGCGCACGTGAATTGTTAGAGAACCTACTACGAACTCAGAAATTCGCCACACTTGAGCTTCTCTTCGTATTCCTAAACACTTGTAATGAATTTGTATAATTAAGATTGAAAAACTGTCTTATTTTAAGAGAGCAAGTTGACACCAGAGGGGTTAGACAGATCCTGGACGGAAGGTCTTGTATATTCTTAGAGGCTGTGTTGATTTAAACACAATTTAAAATCTAGAACAGTTGACAATGATGCCATGATTTTCCGGAATGCATCGGAACATAAAAACAAAGGCGAACAATCTGAATCACAAAAATCAAGGTTTGTTGTCAAAAGAATAAATAGAGCTGCTGGAGCGTTGATTTTAACTTGCTTTAATAGCGATGCTTCTCAGAGGAAGTTAGGGAGAACGGAACCGTCAATACATAATCTGACCGCGAATTAATCATTGTTTCCAAGGCTGGCCGGTTATACAGATACGTCTTCAGTAAGTGGTTTTTCCTTGTTTTTGTGAGATGAACCCATATAATTACAAGAAAATGAATGCAATGCCATAATAATAAAACTCTACCAGTCAGAACATATCATGAAACAAGGTGGATGACAGCATGAAAAATGCTGTTTCACAGTTTCACAGGGAATCTATTTCTACAACATTGCAACCAGCACTAATTTCACTTTTCTTTCCTATCCGCTTTCAATCTTTTTTTCTCATATTTTTTTTTTTCGTTAAATGCAAACATGCGTGATATTCTTCCCAAATGATTTCCAAAGGAACAAGTGCATTAGCATTTTTATTTGATGAGTCAAACAGATACAATTTTTCTTAACATGTGCCGCCAACCTCGTCTTTTACCAAGTGAGTGTGTTATAAATGAACAGGTCAAGAGAGATGATTGCATTTAAAATCCGTTTTCACAATTGAGTCTCACGCGTACTAAGGGATTTTGACGAAAAGAAAAGAATGGAAAGGATAGGTACAACTTTGTTTGTCTAAGCACGAAATGGTCTCAAATGCTTAAACAACTGACTAAACATCTATGTATTTGTCTTTTGCATCTGCTGTTTTGAAAAAGGATTTTTCATGAATAAAATAAATACAGAGTTATATCTGGAAAAAGGGAAAATACAGAGAAAAAAGGTTTAAAAGTAATTTATCTCTATACGTGAAATAAACAAGAAAATATAAATAATTTCTACTTGAAGATAACGTTGTGCTCAGAGAATATTTGTCGCTAAATGTTACTAACATTTTCACAAAAATAGCATAAATAAGCCGTATTAAAGATGAAACGACCTATTTAATTATTAAATACAGTGTAATTGCAGTTTTGGACACATTATTCACACACAACACCCTGACTGAATAAAGCGCAGGATAGGATTCTTGCAAACCCCTTCCCAATCCCCTTGGGACTATTAACAATTTTGCCACGAAACACGATCATGAAGGACGCTTAATTATGATAACCTCAGATAGAGCTTGGAAGAACGATTGAGAGGGTGTACTGATAACAGTGCTATTTAACGCAAAAGAGACTAGTGAAGATATTCGAGCGATGATTTGAAGTATAAAGTCCGAGGGGCTGATCCAAGGTAATTTAAAGCTCGCGTGATACATCATTTCATGATATTGTGCATCGATCACAATTTCTAACCATCAATCGTGATTAGCCTATCCATGGTAGCTGGTACATAGCTCTAACAGAATTGCTTGTCACAAATAAATGTTCAGACGAGTTGTGCTTTAATTCCCTTCTTTTTAGTTTGCATTTGGTATTTGGTTTAGTAATTATCGCCGCAAAATTTAAGCTGTGCGTCTCTGTCTGTTTAATTAGCAATCATATTTAAATGTTCGTTAAAACGTAAGTTGTTGCATACTAATAACTTTTATTTCAATTCATCCCGTATAGCGGTGAGACACAAAGCTGTAATTGAATAAGTGGAAGCCCAGAATCACAATAATTAAAGCAAGAACGTTGAGTTTTAAACGGGTTTTGTGGAAGTTCCTCGCCATAGACAGAACATTGTTGGTCCTGAACTCTGAGTAAGCCAAAATCACGAGAGCGGCCGTTTCATTTTATTTCGATTGTTTCATTTGGCGCAAGTACCTACACAAAGGTGAGAACGAGTGAATTTTAAAAATAAAATATGGATAAAAACAATGGTAGTAACGCAACAGACAACCTCCACAAGGAGGATACTAACAGAAGTCACTACAGAGGAGCATTCGTTCTTTACGGAATGCTTTCAATATTTTCCATCATTGCTAACAGCCTGATCCTGGTTCTGATCTGGAAAAAGAGAAGTCTCCGTACCACTTCCAACACAATTCTTGCCAGTCTCGCAATAAGCGACCTTCTCACAGGCTTAGTGGCTGTGCCGATGGTGATCGCTTGTTCAGAAACGTTGATACTGGATGTCTGCATCGCCATGGACATCTCAAATCGTTTCCTAGCTTTTTCATCAGTGGGCCACCTTATTCTTTTATCTGTCGACCGTTACATCAGAATAATCAAGCCCTTCCAATATCCGTCCATGGTCACGGAAGTAAGACTTGGTTGGGCGCTGGCATTTACCTGGGTGTTCTCACTGATGGCTTCATTGGTACAACTAACTTGGGTTTTGCAACCTACAATGGACGACGACACAATGATTCGTTTTGACCTGGGATATGACTTCATTCATATGATTGTCCTCGTTTTGGTGCCTCTCGTACTGATGATCAGTATCTATACAAAAGTCTTCATTTACCTTCGTCGGCAAAGTAACGAGATCCACAGCGAATTGTCTGCACACGCAGTGTCTCGGGTCAAAGCGCGGCGACGAAATGTAAATGAAAAAAAAACTGCTTCCTTGTTTATTGCAATGATCACGGTTTTCATATTTGGCTTGTTGTTGTATTTTTTATGGGCGATTATGGACGATTTAGAAGTGATAGGGCTACTTAACATAACGCCACTCACACTGAACATAATTGTCATTATCATAATTTTCCTTCGTTTTTTGAGCGCGCTGTGTAATCCCCTTCTTTGCACATTCATTAAGCAAGACTTTTTAGACGCTTTGAAATCCTTTTCGAATGCGTTACGACGTTCGACAAAGGTTTAACAAGGACCCATTTTGTTGACTGAGCAATGTATCAAGAACTATATCTTACTGTTTACATTGTTAGACTGTAAACAAATAAATGATTTCTGATAAAACTGCCAAAGGGTTTGTGTTTAGACTAGCCTTTCGTGATAAATCTTTTTGAGTTGTAAAACTTTGGATCTAAACTAATGGACGACGTATGAAGAACGCAGCTTTCAGTTCTTGCAGGAAACAGTTCACTGCAAAAGGTTAGGCTGCATATATAAACAACCCGTTAAAACTTCTTATTTCTGTCACAGTAAGGGGGGCTTACATAATTAAATTTCATGGATACTTGAGAGTTACACTCTCTACGGATTGTTCTTTGGTGCAGTTCAAGGGAAGGAGTCGTTTATTCTTCTTTCTTAATTCCCCTGCAGCAAGGTTCTCTTGCCATTTTCGGAAACATCTTAGCAATTAATCGTTTGGCTAAAAAATATTTCAATCTTTAATTGATATTTTTTCACCGACACTTACCACATCGTGCAGAAAGTTTTTCTCTTAACCATTTGTTGATAGTCTTTGAGTAAGCTCCAATGCAAGATACGGGCTTGCAGGCTAAATTGTTAAAGGTTAATGTTCTTTTAAGGTGGCTCGTACCGGTTTTCATCTTTTTGGTGGTTTGTAACTTTGAAAGAATACAACAGAAAGACTGACCAAGGCCAGTTGAACACTTTTACGGGGTTGAATTACATAATC